ACATAATCAGTATTTTGATGCATACTTTAATTGTAAACATTTCAAATGGAAGGGAAAAAAAGCATCACTAACATTTTAATTTGCCAACCTGAAGTACCACCAGAGGAGGGCAACTAGGATAATCAAGGATCTAGAGATCATGACATTGAAAGACAGGTTGAAAGAGTTGGGGATGTTTCACTTGGGAAAAAAAAAATACTTAGCAGGAACATGACAGGTGGGCAGCTAGGTGGTGAGTAGATAGAGTGCCAGGCCTGAAGTGCCTGGAAGACTCATCCTCCTGACTTCAAATCACCAACTGTGACACTGGACACTTCATTTAATTCTATTTGCCTCAATTTGGCATCCATAAAATGAGCTGGAGAAGGAAATGGCAAACCACTGTAGTATCTTTGTCAAGAAAACCACTGATAGCATCAACAAAGAGTCAGACACAACTGAAAAGACTGAACGACAACAACAACAATACATGATAGCTGTCTCCAAATACTCAAAGAGTGGAAGTTAGAAAGAGGCATGTTTCAGATTTCAAAAACAAAGCCAACAACTAGAACTGAAAAGGAATGCATTCCTTATTACTGAAGGGCTTCACAGTAAAGCTGGATTCTCAAGTGTCAGGGATCTTGAAGAAGGGATTCCTCTTCAGTCAGGCATTAGACTGGATGATTCTGAGCTCCCTTCTCACTAGGAATCTCTGACACTTGAATAAATTGAGTTCCCTAAGATTTTGATCCCAATCTGATGAATTACATAGAATCTCAGAGAGGGAAGAGGTCTTAGAGAATATCTAAACTCAATCTATATCTTAGCAAGAATCCCATCTACAAATATACCCAAATGATCAGTGAGCCATTACTTGAACATGTCAGATGGAAGGGGATCTACCACCTCTTAAGGCAGCCCAATGAAACTTTTACACAGCTCTCATTGTTTAGTTCTTCCACATATCAATCTTAAGTTTGATTTTTTTTCCCTTTGCAATTTATACTCATTTTCCCTGGAGCCAGGCTTCTCTTCTGTGGAAGGACAATTTAAATTCTTGAAGATAACTATTATGACCCCTTTAGATAGGACTGTATCTGTAATTTCATAGAGATAGAGAACTCTTGGGTGAGAAAACTCATTGTGTCAATGCAAGTCACCACCTTTCCTGCAACATATAATCTTAGAGAGGTACCTAGAGTACTGAGAGATTTCTTAACTTGCCCAGAATCCCACGGCCAATATATGTCAGAGGTAAGACCTGAACCCATTTTTTTTTTCTGGTTTTGAGGTCAGTTCTCTTTCGAACCAGCAACATATCTTCTCTATGGCCGGTCTGTGCAACAATGAGCTGGAGCCAACGTGAAGGCTTTGGAATTGAGAAATTTTCCAGATTTATTGGACACGATTTATTTTGCTTATTTATAGACTTAAGGAAGTGATTAAGAAAATGTTAACAATGAAGGTTAAAATTAAAAGTACTTAACATATCCTTTTTTTTTCCTTTTTGGGCAGCCGGGTTCTTAAACATTTATCGGTACACCCCTATTTCTAAATCTTTTCATGTCAATTTAATTCAACAACGACAATCTCCAGTCTAACAGTAATTTTATATACCCTGATTGTGCCATCCAGCATGTTAACTATACCTAGCAGCTTTGTATCATCTGCAAATTTGGAAGGCATACGATATGTATGTTTTTATCCAAGTCAGTGATAAAAATGTTAGATAGTATAGGGCTATACACAGATTTCTGGAGCACTTCCCAGGAGACCATCTTCCAAGCTCACATTGAACCAAAAAAGACTAAACTAAGCCACTTAACAAATTCTGAATCTACCTAATTATACATTATTTAGCCAACACCTCTCTCTCTGTTTAACGTGAGAATAGCATCAGAAATCGCAGAACCAGCTGATCTGGATTTCAGTAGTGAATCCAATGCCTACTAAGTGCATGATGAGGCACTTAACCTCTCTAAGCCTAGGTTCTCTCATTAGTAAAAGGACTGGATTTGACAAGATGTCCTCTGAGGCCCCTTCTGGCTGGAACTCCATGAATACTATGTTCTGCGTTCTCGTTGCATTTCAGTGGTACCTATTAGAAAAAATGCATTCGCTCAAATTAAATTCCCTAGTTCATCTTCTTTACTACCCAAATTTTGTGAAGATTTACATTTTATTTCCAGCACCTTTCGCATATTTTTATCTTGGGAATTTCTTGATGTTTCTACTACTCTTCCTACATTGTAGCTGCTCACTATGGTATGGAGCATGGTAGATATAAATTGACATTTTTCCTCCCTCCTCTTTACTTTTCAGTTTTTCTTTCCTTTCCCTTCCACCAATCTCCTGGTGCTGACCGTATCTTCCACCCACTTTGGTGTGAAAGGGGGTTTAGGAAGGAAGGAAAGAAGGAAAGAAACATTTAAGTGCCTACTATGTGCCAGGCATCTTGCTAAGCACTTTACAAATATTATCTCATTTGATTCTCACTATAACCCTCTGAGGAAAGTAGTATTATTATCTCTGTTACAGTAGAGAAAACTGAGGCAGACAGAGATTAGTGACTTGTCCAGGGTCACACAGCTACTACATGTCTGAAGCTAGACTTGAAAACTCATGTCTTCTTGACTCCAGGCCTAATGTGCTATTCATTGTGCCACCTAGCTACCTCCAGGCAGCTGAGATGAATAGGAGTAGAGAAGAGTGGGAGGTGAAGGAGATGGGCAGAGTGTTTTAGAAGAGTCCCCTACTACTCCCCCTGACTCCAAGCATTGTGTGTATGTGTCTATTTCCTTAAAACCTTCAATTAAGGATGAGGAAAACTTAAAAAGAGTTGCTACTCACTACACATTTCTCAGTTCCCTCTTTTTATAATTTCAAATTCTTTCCAGGTCCTCATTGGTAAATGACAATGTGAGTCAGATACCTGGAGTCATATGTAAACTTCTAATGTTTTAATGGTTGATTTTACTGAGGGGATAGGAAGCAGTTAAACGACATTAATTAAACCAATGTTATTCATTGGTCACAAGAGAATATATGCATAAGCTCCTAGCTTTCAGTCCTAAAGAATCCTCATTACTAATCTCTGACCTGGGGCCCTTGATATTTGATCTCTGTCATCACTTCAAGGAAAACGGGTAAAAGTTAAAGGAAAAGTTTCCTTCAAGTTGATCTACTCAAACTGCACTATGCTGTCCTGGGGAAACTGGAATTTTCCTTAACCTTAACTTTACTCTTAACCTAGCTATTTTCTAAGAATATGTGTGTGTGTGTGTGTGTGTGTGTGTGTTTTAATGGTTCTATTTTCCACAGAGACAGAGAGAATCAGGAAGACAGAGTGAAGGGAAAAAGTGAAATGTGGTCCTTCTGAGATGTTTTAGCTATTTGGGAGAGCCCAGGTGACCATTTAAGACATCTGCAAAATATTGGGAGAGGATCTGGACTCTGGTCTCACATTCTTCAACTGCCAAGGGTATAAGAACATTGAGTGTTGTTTCAGAAAGCAGCCTCAAACCTCACCCAGGCAGGGAAGCTGCCCTTTCATCCATAAGATCTTTTCCCCAATTCTATTGTTCAAAAGCACTTGATAACATTCCCTATTCTCTCCTCCTTTACTCTTGTGTCTTCACCAAGACCTGCTCCTTTACTTGTGCCCTTGATCTCAATTCTGTTTTTGTGATCTTGAATCTATCCATATCTAATAGCTTCTTTGATGCTTCCTGACATACCCTGCTCCCTTAGTCTTAAAAAAAACCCTTCACTTGACTCTAGTTTCTTCTCAAGTTTCACCCTAAATATCTCCTCCTTTTCATAGCCAAACTCCTAGAAAAAGCCATCCCACTTGTCACCACCTTTTCCTCTTCTCCCAAGCATCTTTCAATGTCCTAACCATTCCTATGCCCTGTCAACATTCAACTAAAACTCCTGTCTGGATTATTATCACTGATGTTCCAGGGAATTTAAGTTCTTTGAAGGCATGGCCTTTTGTTCCCCCGGTCTTTTTATGCACAGTGCCTGGCATATAGTAGGTCCTTAACAAATGGTAGGTTGCTTATTCTTGTTGTTTAGCTGTAAAGATCAAGGGACTTCCATAGGATTGGGGTATGAACTTCATATTCTTTGCACCCTTAATGGGCCTCACAAAGCAAGTGTTAAAGTGTTTCTTTTACACCAACATGATTGTTTGTATCTGTTATGTACCTGGGATAAATGAAGAAAAATATAAAAGGTTCATTCTATATCCTGTCCCTTACAAGCCATCCCTCAAGTGTCGTATGGATTATAAATAAGATTTTTTTTGAGTAGTGCATTTTGCCTTCCTTAACTTTATTCAGTCACTTAAGGAGCTTGAGAATAAAATCACTGCAACCATTTTGAGTCAAATGACATAGATTCAAATCCTGGCTCTACTAGTTATTTCCTATAAGGCTTTGGTAAAATCACCTAACTTCTTGAGGACTCAGTTTTCTTATCTGTAAAATGAGAGGGTTGGACCACATCACTTCCAGGATGTCTTCCAACTCTAACTCAATGTAAGGACTATCTGTTTCTGGGCTCATTATGATACTATGATTGTATACCTTCATGTCACGAACTTAGAAGTTCTCAAGTCTGGAAACTTAGCTAATGCCATAATTGTATTATATACCTTGTACTGGCCTGGTGACACTCCTAAGAAAACCAAAACAGGTGGTCTACTACTTAGCTTTCTTCTAACACTTCCTTCTTAGAATTTTGAGCTTGAAGGAGAACAAATTATAGTGTTCAAAACCTCCTGAAAGAAAACTTGGTTATTTTCATTTCTGCCAAATAATCCCTTTTGACCATTTCCTTTATTGCATGTGTACCCCTGGTGGCATAGTCAAATGGATGATTCATTTTAATGTGATTGTCTTTTGATTATTATGACTTGGAAAGTCATCAAAATCTCCCTACAGTCAAGATGATCATTATGAGGTAGATGTTATTAACAAACATTCATTGAAACAGGAAGCTTTTCACAAACAGTGTTCTTTTTTCCTTTTTTTAATCCATCTTCAAAAACTTCTGGGTCATAAACATGTAATTAGCAAATGACAGATGAAGAAAGGAAAACATCTGACACAATCCTCAGATTTTCCAAGGCATTTTACTAAAATACATTGCATTGCTTAGATGGGAGGTGTCAAAAAAAATGGCCTACAATATTCCTGAGTGCTGCCTGCACCAGATTAAAATGTGATTGGGAAATATTTCACAAAGTAAATAAAAATATAATAAAACATAAATAACATTACATTTTTAAATTAAATCAATCTATGGCCTACAGGCATCTTCGTGTTCATATTAGTGGCCCCTGTTTCCATTTGAATTTGACACCACTGACTTAGATCATAAAAATGAGCTTCTCTTGAATTGTTTCAGAATCATCTCCATAGTTTATTTTACACATAGGAAGTATAATAAGAACCTTTGACTGAATTTATAAAATGAATTCTCAGAATTAATAAAATATAATTCAGGGTTAGGAAAAAAAGACAATTTAAATCAGATCCTAAAATTAAGTTGCATGTCATTTCCATACTTATTGCTAAAAGAATAATTTAGAACACATGAAAGGTAAAATGGTGGGTAAAAAAAATTAAATATTTGTCACTGGACTCTTTTTCCAAAATTTTATTTGTTCTAATTTCCAAAGTGATGAATTCAATAAGTTGAGAGTCAAGCCCTTGATTATGACCAGATATCAAATACTGAATAGTATAGCTGGCACATTAAATTCAGCCAATTTTATTCTGCTATGTATCAGTCAGTCAGTCAATAAGCTGAAACAATATCATTGTACAATGATGCCAAGGAATAATCTCAGGTACAGTAGCATAGTTATTTCATTTCCCTCTTTTTTAACTTTAAAGGTATCTTTTATCTTTTAGTATTTAAAGAAAAAAATATGGAAACATCTGTTATTTCTTCAGCTTTAAAAGATCTTTGGGAGCTAGAGCTAACATGCCCAAATACTTGCAAAGATCTCTAATTTGGTTAGGTTTGTTTTGTGTAATTTTCAAAATATTGTAAATCGTGAACAGTGTAGTATACTGAAATATAAGAAAATACATCAAGAGAGTATTAAAAAAATAGTCACTTTAATACTTACTGTTTACCACTGTTGGCTTGCTTTGATCAGTCTAATGAATGATATACTGGACTTTTAAGCTTATTCTAAATAACTAAGCAAACTTAAGCAAAATAAGTTAATTTTTTTTTTACTTCTAGTCAAAACAGCAGAATGAGAGTTCACATGGAAACCAGGAAATACCCCCCCACACACACACACACACATTTTTAAAAATCATAAATATCAAAGACAGAAAACAGTCATTATCCTATAGAGTTCAAGGATCTGTGATTTTGCCAGTATGGGAACTCCATTCACCACAGCTCACAATCCATTGATAGTTCCTGGGTGTGAAAAAAAAAAAGGTAAAAAAGTTAAAAGGAAATTGTGAAAAAAAGACATTTAGAATATATGTATAAAAACTCAAAAATTTAGTGAAAACCAATATAACTATACTTATTACTGCTGAAAAAGATGGAAAGTGGATACAAAAGAGGAGGTGAGTACTGGGGGAAGTCCAGAAAATTGTTCAGCTGTTGAAAGAACTGGAAATTGTTCAGATGAAAAATGACATCTAGAAAACTAAGTCAAGATGCAGAAACTTCAGGATTATTGACATCCTACAAATTTTAGAATGGAAAAGAAAGAAAGAAAGAATTCAATAAAAAAAAAAGAAAAAAAAATTTTTGACTAGACATTCCATTTGTGGAATGTGTGCAAAATTGATTACCTGCTAGATCACAGAAAATATAGATAAATTTAGAAAAGGGGAAATTGTACACACTACATATATGGATCATAGTGCAGTCAAGTTAGTAATAAATATTGATAATCTGAATAAAAGTTGTAGGTCCACATGAATGATTTTTAAAATTTCCTAAAAGTTGGGATGGAAGATTAAAACAAAAGTACCATATAATATAAAAAGTAACTTATAATATGAAAACAAAGGGAGCTCATAAAAGAATGCAGATAATATATATCAATAAAAATATAACACATCAAAGTCTATGAGATACTGCAAAAAATCATTGGATTTAAATTTATAGTACTGAATGCTTCTATCTGTAAGAAACAAAGAGAAATAGTGAGCTAAGGCTATACTTTTAAAAACTTAGAAAAAGAAAAAGGCAATATACCAACAAAAAGAGAAATAAAAAAATACATATAGACATTCATTAGACTAAAAATAATAATTCACTAGGATTAGATGAATCTATAAACGAATTCTGCCAAATTTTTAAAGAACAAATAATTCCTATACTATATAAATTGTGTTTAACCATAAAAACAGGAGGCTACCTCCTAGGTAGCCTCTAGGAAACAGATATTATCCTGACCCCTGAAATGGACAAAAATAAATCCATCAAAATGGCAACATCATTAATGCTTATTGGTTCATGATATTAAATAAAACATTAACAAATAAAAGAGTAGCTTACATACATGCATGTTCAACTGTATGTATGCTATAGAAGAAGGCAGAATTTCATAGTAGATTGATTGCTGGATTTATAGTCTGGAAGACCTGAGTGCAAAATAATTTCTCTGACAGTATCTCTGTGGCCATGAGCGAGTCATTTAATATCTCTGATACTCAGCCAAGTTTCTTGAAAAAGAAAGAAAAATAAAAGCCTTGTAACATATATGCATAATAAATTCTTACACTGTAAATGTCCAAAAAATGTCTCCATCTGCAACCTCAGTACAACAATCTCTGTCAGGAAATGGATTACATACCTCATCATAAGTCCTCTGAAATCATGTATAATCATTGTATTTATAAGAATTTTTAAGTCTTTGCAAATTATTAGTCTTTAGAATGTTGTTGTAATTGTGTAAATTGTTCTGGTTCTGCTCACTTCACTCTGCATCACTTCATACAAGTCTTCCAAGATTTCTCTGAAACTGTCATTTTCATCATTTCTTATAGCACATTAGTATTCAAATTCAAACACCGTAATCCTTCAACACTCATCTCAAATCCCACCTTCCACAAAAGGCCTTTTCTAGCCCTCCCCCTTCTCCATCCCCATGCTAGCAGTGTCTCTCTGAGATTATATGCCATTCATTTACCTCAAAATTTATCTCAAATGTACATAATTATTTGCATGTCCTGTACCCCCCCACCACTAAAATGTGAACTTCTAGAAGGTAGGGACTATTTTTTTTTGTCTTTCTTTTTATCCCCTGTGCTTGTTACTTGGTATATAGTGGACATTTAATAAATGTTTGTTGATGATACTGCATAATCACATGTCATCACCAGAAGAAATTTCATGACAAATTTCAGAATGGATTTTAATCAGGGTGAAACCTGGGCTTATTGAATATACTTTACAATTTCCAAATTCAGTCTAGCCTCCTCTCTTTCTTTTATTCAATTCTGGGCCCATTTCATTATCCAACTGTAGTGTCTGTGGAAGATATGCACACTTTGGGTTAGCTATTTGTAAGGTTTGTTAAACTACAAATCATAGTTTGGACAGAAGTCAATCTTCATTCTCTGGGAATTTCCTGTGGCATTATTTGGTCTTAAATCTTTCAAGTAATTGTGAACCTCCTTTCAGAGATCCTTCTATTTTCTGCGGCATCATGAAAGTAACACAATGTCATCTGTAAAAAAAAAGGGGGAGGGGCGGAGCCAAGATGGCACAGTGAAGGCAGTGACTTGCGTGAGCTCTCCTCCAAACCTCTCCAAATAGTCATAAAAAAATGGTTCTAAACAAATTCTGAAGCAGCAGAACCCACAAAAAACCAGAGTGAAACAAATTTCCAGCCCAAGACAACCTGGATGATTGATCAGAAAGGTGTATCACCCCAGGCCGGGAGCGCAGCGCAGCATGGGCGCACAGGCCACAGCGAACCTGGAGCAGGCCTCAGAGGACTGAATCTCTGGCAGCTGTGGAGGTTTCCAGACTCCTCAATCCACCAATGCCAAAGACAAATTAGAAGGTCAGTGGGAAAAGTCTGTTTCTGTCGGTGCTGAGAAAGGAAGGGGGTTCAGCTCCATTCCCCAAGAGCGGGCCCTGGGGGGGGGGCAGCTGCTTCCTGAGCTTCCGGCCCACAGACTGAGGGGGAATCCAGTGGCTGATCAGAGAGGGACTGCAGGGATCTCTTTGCCAGTGCTGAGGCAGGAATCTCTTGCTTTGCCTGTGTGGATCTGGGTCACAGTTCTGGGCGGTGCTGGGGTGAGGAGGAGCTGGCTGGTGGAGCTTGTAGTGGCTGTGAGAGGAACCCCTCCTCACAGTTACAGGACAGAAAGGTACTTGTGTCACAGGCCAGGAAAGGAGTAAACACCTCGCCCCTTATCATACCACCTTGGAAGAACTGAAAATTTACAGGTCCCTACAAGTATCTCTGAAAACAGCTACACAAACCCCTGAAGCTTGGGACAGTACATTCTCCACATTGGAAGCAGACTCTTACCTTAACAAAGAGTTTAAAACTCAAGTAATTGGCGGATCATGAGCAAGCAGCGCAAAAAGAGTCAGACTATATTATCTTACTTTGGTGAAAAAGAAGATCAAAATATACAACCAGAAGAAGACAACAAACTCAAAGCTCCTACATCCAAAGCCTCCAAGAAAAATATGAATCAGTCCCAGGCCTTGGAAGAGCTCAAAAGGGATTTTGAGAAGCAAGTAAGGGAAGTAGAGGAAAAACTGAGAGTGATGCAAGAAAATCATGAAAAACAAGTCAACAGCTTGCTAAAGGAGACCCAAAAAATACTGAAGAAAATAACACCTTAAAAAATAGCCTAACCCAAATGGCAAAAGAGGTCCAAAAAGCCAATGAGGAGAAAATGCCCTAAAAAGAAAATTGGCCAAATGGAAAAGGAAGTCCAAAAGATTACTGAAGAAAATACTTCCTTAGAATAGAGCAATTGGAAGATAGTGACTTTATGAGAAATCATGACACAGTAGAACAAATCCAAAAGAATGAAAAATTAGAAAACAATGTGAAATATCTCATTGGAAAAACAACTGACCTGGAAAATAGATCCAGGAGAGAGAATTTAAAAATTATTGGACTATCTGAAAGCCATGATCAAAAAAAGAGCCTAGACATCATCTTTCAAGAAATTATCAAGGAAAACTGCCCTGATATATTAGAACCAGAGGGCAAAATAGAAATTGAAAGAATCCAGAGATCTCCTCCTGAAAGAGATCCCCAAAGGAAAACTCCTAGGGATATTATAGCCAAATTCCAGAGTTCCCAGGTCAAGGAGAAAATATTACAAGCTGCCAGAAGGAAGCAGTTCAAGTACTGTGGAAACACAATCAGGATAACACAAGATTTAGCAGCTTCTACATTAAAGGACCAGGGCATGGAATATAATATTCCGGAGGGCAAAGGAGATAGGATTACAACCAAGAATCACCTACCCAGCAAAACTGAGTATAATCCTTCAGGGGAAAAAATGGTCATTCAGTGAAATAGAGCACTTTCAAGCATTCTTGATGAAAAGACCAGAGCTGAATAGAAAATTTGACTTTCAAATACAGGTCTCAAGTGGAACATGAAGAGGTAAACAGGAAAGAGAAATCATAAGAGACTTATTAAGATTGAACTGTTTACATTCCTGCATGGAAAGATGATATTTATAACTCATGAGACCTTTGTCAGTATTAGGGTAGTTGGAGGAAAAAAATTATGTATGTATATGTAGATAGATAGATAGAGGGCACAGGGTGAGTTGAAGATTAAGGGGTCATATCTGGAGAATAAAATTAAGGGATGAGAGAGGATTATACTCAGAGAAGAAGAAAGGGAGAGGTAGAATGGGGTAAATTATCTCAAAAAAATAGAAAAGAAAAGTCTCTTACAGTGGAGGGGAAACGGGGAAGGTGAGAGGGAATGAGGGAATCTTATTCTCATAGGATTTGGCTTAAAGAGGGAATAACATACACATTCAATTGGGTACGGAAATCTGTCTTACCCTACAGGAAAATAGGGGGAGAAGGGGACAAGAGAGCAGGGGATGATAGAGAGGGCAGATTGGGAAAGGGGTAATCAGAAGTAAATACTTCTGAGTAGGGACAGGGTCAAAAGAAAGAATAGAACAATTGGGAGGGCAGGATAGGATTAAGGGAAATAGAGTTAGTTTTTCACAACATGTCTACTATGGACGTGTTTTGCATAACTGCACATGTACAACCTATATTGAGTTGCTTGCCTTTTCAATGAGGGTGGGTAGGGAGGGAGGAAGAGAGAAAATTTGAAACCTAAAGTTTTAAAAACATATGTTTAAAAAAAATGTAAAAAATAAAATATAAAGAGAAAAAAAAATCTGGAGGACATCACCACCTATCAGAAGTCTCTCCTCTATTTAGACGTTGAATTGGACATCCCTTTTTTTGGTGAACATACATATTCCTTCCCTTGATGTTAATAATTAGATTAATGAACAAAAGGTCTTCTTGTCATTGTGTTTTCCAAGGAAGTTTTTACGATATTTATATATGCATGGGAAGCACCTTGTTGAAGGAGGCTCTCTAAGGCTGCCTTTTACTTAACCAAAACATCTATTTTTTAATGGTCAACAAATAATCAAAGGTTTGTTTTTTGTACTTCTCATTCCACTAATTGACCATAAAGCCATGAAAGTCATCCTATTCCCTTCTCATGCTTTCATTTGCAATGGCTTTATTAGACATGTAAAATATCTTCGTCAACATTATGCAAAGATGTGAAAATGAGCATATTTTCATTAGCTTCACTACTTATTAACTAAAATCATCTTGATCATCTTTTCCCAGCAGTAAAGATGTCTGTGACTTTTTTTCCCCAATCATTAAGTATCTTCCCTTCTTTTCAGGTATGTTATGAATCAATTCCTCAACATTCTCAAAATCATGTTATCCTCACAGGCCTCTTATTTGTATGCTCAGACTGGCTCAGCTGCTCTTCTGATCTTTGATTTCTTTAGTGCCTCTATTTCCTCACTTAGTACTTTGAGAGCTATAAGGTTAGAATTCTATGTGGCTCATTGGTTGAGAAAAGAGTTTGTTGTAGATATCTTGACAGATCTGTCCTTTTTGTGTCTGTTGCATTACTTCAAGTTTCACCTTTAAATTCTCTCACAATGATTGTGTTTATTTGGCTATAACACAAAGCTTTCTATAACCTCCTATACTCTATTTCTTAATGGTTTATGGAAGATACATATTATCTTATTTTTATTCCTTCTAGTTAGGTGTTGATTGTGAACTTTGCTCTAACAAGTCATGGTTTGAGTGTACACAGACAGTGCGTTTGAAAGTAGTTCCCACATTGGTCATTTCCCATATGTTAAGATTCATTTTCATTTTTTTAATTATGTCATTCTGTTATTTCCATGATTAGTACCTTCCAACTCTCTTCTAGAAGAAAGCATTCAAAATATATAATATATAAAACTATGAGGCATCTCAGCTGTCTACAAGCTTTTTTGCCTCTCATTTCTGAATACAAACCATAGTTCTCACTATCTTCCTCACAATCCATTTTTACACTGCAGTCACTGAGTATTAGAATATACACTGATTTCACTTGGAGGTTCTTATCAGCGTCCTCAGATTTCTTCAACCTCCTTGTCCTATCACTACATAAACTGCATGAGATTCTATTGACTCATGTTCGTTGTTAGTATTTCAGTATAACAGGAGCAAGTGTCCCATGAAATATTTCTTCTTGTCTTTGGATAGATGATAAAAGCCAGTCCACTAATCCTTTATTTGCTTCTCCAAAGAGATCCTCTAAATCATCCTGCCATTTAGCAAAATTGGAATCCTGGTATTTTGTTTTTTGTTTTTTGGTTTTTTTACAGTTGACACTGCCAGTGTTGATGCCAGGTATATTACAACTTGTTGGTCATTGTAATACAATCTCCTACCCAGAATACCTATACTTAAAGTTTATTGATAGTGTTAAAAACTCTATGAGTTTCAACAGCCTCTGCTTCCTTGTCTAATATTATCCCACTGAAAGCCAATTTGTATTTTTCCTTATTTCATAAGTGGCCATAGCCATATAATGGATCAGTTTCTGTTCAGCCTTCTGTTAATGAGCTTCTTCATAATGATCTAGCTTGGTTCTTGGAAAGGAGATGGACTATTACAGGACTAGATTGAGATCTTCTATTTATAGTAGGACTTGTCAGAGATCATTTCCCACTGACTTAGTCTTTTTTAAAATTTTATTTATTTTATTCTGAACTTAAGAAATAAAACAAGCATTTCAATAACAGTAGAATAGAAAAAAAAAGATGATTGCACATGGAACTGCAAATAAATTATGTACAACTAACTATTCCTTTTGTGTGTGTGTGTGTTTTTTTTTTTTTTGGTGAGGCAATCAGGGTTAAGTAACTTCCCCAGGGTCACAGAGCTAATAAGTGTCAAGTGTCTGAGGCCAGATTTGAACTCAGGTCGTCCTGACTCCAAGGCCAGAGCTCTATCTACTGCACCACCTAGATGCTTCACTATTCCTTTTAAATATATAATAAAATTACTAAGTAAATTTCTTTTTTTCCCTTTTTTTCTTCCCTGCCCATCACCTCTATACCATTCTGAGGCACTAGAAAGGGATTTCTCTGGACCGAAGTCAATTTCACTTGTTCTTCACATCTTTTTTTTCCCTACTGCCATTTCTATTTCCTTACTCAAGAAATTAGGAATTACGACATTAAAATTAAAATACAGTGACTCTACTGTCATTGTCGGAACTAGAGATTACAATTTAGAATTTAAATGCCACCAACTGGAACTACGTGAGGTCTTGATAGGCCAATTTTGGCCTTATCTTTCAGATCCAATCCTCTACTGACCTTATTGGCTGTCTCCATGCTGTAACCCTGAGTGAACCCTCTCCCTTTTGCAGCTCTTCTTTCTGTATAGTCTCCTCTCATCAGAATGTAAGTTCCTTGAGGACAAGGACTGTCTTGCTTGATTGTTTTGGTTCTTCCCTGCCAGTGCTTGGCATAGTACCTAGGACATAGTACCTAGGACATAGTAAGTGCTTAATAAATGCTCTATCAATTTATCTATGTAGAAACTCATTGGCAAAATCTTACTGAGGAAGATGGTGGAAGATTGCAAGCGTTGCTGCCTTAGAAAATAGCAAGTATAAATGGAAGGGGGAAATAAATTTTTTCATGAATTTTGACTAAGCTGGGTCAGACCAAAAGAATTAAAGATGGAATTATAAAGAGTACAATAAGTAGCTGAAAAATGAAAAAGAAGTTATGTAAAAATTTTTATAACTATTTTTTCCCCTCATTTGATAATTCAACTCAATTTTGGAGAAAAGGAAAATGTGTATTAACCAAACAAATGGAACACCTTAGTAAACAAAATCAGTGGGTTTGATCATATGTAGAATTGGATTTTGTTGAACAAAAGAATCATTATCCCTTAAATAAAAATGAGTGAAGAAAATATTTGCAAATATATTAATGAGATAAAGGCCTGACATGAAAAGCTTATAAAAGCAATTTACAACCTCCACTAGAAAATGATCAAAATATATAAGCAGATTTTTTAAATTGTTTGGCAGAACAATAGGTAACTAATCAAATGAGTAAAGATACAGTAAAAAAGGATCAACAGCAAAGCAGAATCAGCAGAATAAGTCAGAAAGCATACACATTGTCTGCAAATATATGTATCTTATATTACACATAAAATAAATGCATGCATATTCAGTGAAACTGGTGTCTGATTTCATTGGTATAGGGAATTCGTGAGTGAGGAAACCCTATCTGTGCCATTTGGTACCTTCTCTCTTAGAGAACCGCCCAAAGTGCCAAGAGGTTGAATGATTTGCTTGGGTTCACACAGCCAGTAAAGATCAGAAGTGGGTCTTAAACCTAGACTCATGGCCAGCTCTCTTTGCGCTATTCCATGACTCTTCTTTGGTAATAAATGTATGATGGTCACCTTGGGCTCCCTGGAAACTTGCTGTGTCATCCAACTTGCCCTTCTTACCTTCTTTAAGGTCTGTTTCATCAATATTTTAATTCAGGATGAATTTTGAAGCTTTATGCTCTTCTTTCCCCGTAATCTACTAAGTGCAGCTTCTGTATGCATCAATCCTTCCCACAGAGACTTGGGAAAAATAGTCAGTTCTCTCTTAAGTTGTCTCAGTTCCCTGCAATTCTCCTTGAAGCAGATGAATGGGGTTATTTAATTTCTTGAGTGTACACAGACAGCAGATTTGAAAATAATTCACACATTGGTCATTTTCCATCTGTTAAGAGTCATTTTCATTCTATTTAGTGGAGTTTGAGGAGACAAACAGTCCTCCAGTATTTCTGGACAAGTGAAACAAATATCTTTGACTTCAGTATATATGACCTCATATAATTTAGTTAATCCCATTTGTTTTTTGCTTTGATTGTTTGTCAGTATTTGGAGCTGTCATTTCATTGGTACAGGGAGCACTCAGGTGAGGAAACTCCTTCTATCAATACAGGTTGGCACCTTCTCTACAATATATAGTCTTAGTTGCCCAGAGCATTGAGAGCTTAACTCAGATATAATAGTTGAACCCATGTCTTTCAGACTTTTAGGCCAGGTATATGTTCCCTAATCCATGTTGTCTCTTATATTCAATTGGAATGTTACATTTATAATTAATGTTTTTGAAAAGGTGATCTTTATACATAAAACTACAAGAACAAAAAGAATAAAAACTAAAAAACACCACCACCAACAAAAAATATCATGGAATCTCATAATATCCATATTACTTCTCTACCTTGGACACACTTGATTTGTGAGATATGATCAAGAAGGTCCCTTAAAATGTTGGGGAAAGATGTAAAAGGTCATTTCTGGGAAGTGTACTTCAACAAATATATCATTTTAGTAAATTTGGCTTATAATCTTCTGTTGTATCTATTCCCATGATGGCCACAGAGCTCATCTCTGGTTTCCATTTCTCTCCCTGTTGTCTGTCCCTCCTTCCCCATTCAGTTTGCTTCCTAGACCTGCATTCCATCCTGTTGAATATTTTTCTTTGAGCCTGGACACATTTTTCTACTGAATAATCACAGGAGTTTCATTGGGCTATAGTTCTCTATAGTGAACATTCAGAACTTTTCCAAAACTAAGATTTAGATTACTATTTAGTAGAAAAAATAATGAGGACTACACACCGTTTTCCTGGGACTTTGATCCCTATAATTGTTCATCCATGGGATCCACAGGCTATGACTCTCCAGAGCTGCTCTTCTGTACTCCTCAGATTGACTGCACTTTTGTAAACACTGAAAGGAGGTAGTTTTGGCCTGTCCTTCTGGCAGGACAACAACTAGGCTTTGGTTCCCAGGCAAGGCTAATCTCTTAACATGTATGATAAAGCATTGCCTTTAGAAAGGCCAGTCAAGGACATGATCCCTGATTACTAAATATCCCCAGTTGCTCTGTTAGGTAATGTTAACTCTTTTGCCATCAACATTTTCTCTCTTTGGAATGAATGCAATTCCATCTTCAGTTGTATGTTGTGTATAAAACATTGTTGCTTTAAATTATGAATGACATTCAGTTAAAAATATGCTCACATTCTTAATGATGATGCTAAATTGCACTTTCAGGAGCATAGATATTTAATTCAGGTTTTTTCTTTTCAAATTCCCCTTGCATTAACAATAATTCATATGACTGGGGTTGGAAAGAGGGTGATGGGTGGCAAAAAAAGAACCCAACAACTAAACACTCTATTAGTTTGGTTTCTTCTGATCGAAAAATGCCTTATGTTGTGAATAGAAATTCTCTACTTATTTCTCAGTGATAACAAAAGTATTACCAATACTTGGTTTTGCTGGTTCTTACTTTTATTGTAAACATATCCTTGCTGAAGCTAGAGAAAAGAATTAAAATATTTGTGAAACATTTGACAAACCAGACATTGATAACCAAAAATTGATAAGCATTATGGCTTACAAGGCTTTCACATGTTACATCATGTGATTTTCACAACCACCATATGAGGAAGGCACTACAGGCAATATTACTCCATTTTCAAGGTGAGGAAATTGAAGGGAAGTAAAAAGGGAGAGAAAAAGGAAAGGAGAAAGAGAAAGAATAACAGGGCAGAATAACAACTGACATTTACACAGTGTTTCAAGGTTTGCACAGCATGTTATACATGTAACCTCATTACAATCTGACAATCATATGAATCAAGTTTGACAGGCATTATTATCCCCACTTTCCAGATGAAGAAGTTGGGGGTGAAACAGAATGGGTGACTTGCCCAATGCTCTTGGCACCTAAGACTATATATTGTAGAGAAGATGCTAACCTTCATTGCCTCACAAGCTAGTCTGAGATGAGGTAAGAACTGAGACTGTCCTGATCCCAAGTCCAGTGCTCTCTCAGGACTGAGGGAGGAAGTGAGGAAAAGGAGACTTTAGGAGAACATTGCAACAAGAATTACCTCAAAGACTGATTTCTGTCAGAGCAGAATGAAGTTTACCTTTTATTATATTTTATTTGTTTTCATTCAAATGATCTGGATAGTTTCTTAATTTTTTTTTGTTTTTCTCAGTGAAAAATTCTGAAAAATCGAAATTCAAATGTTCACATCCCTACTAAATGTTGGCCCAATTTTTATTTCAAATAATCTCCATTCTGTCTAAAAGGATGATTATATACACTATTCTTGGCCAAAATGACTTGTTAGGCCAGACCTGTTTGAAATTGAGATAGTACTCATTTACCTATATATGCTGGTATTGGTGAAATATAAATATTGTCTAAAAATTACATTTGGCTAGTGATTCGGTACCCATGCTCTGGGACCATTAGTTACTGAAGGACGAGGCATTTTAAAGCCTGCGTTATTTCAGGTTTTGCTAATAAGTAATCACATTGCAATAAGGAAACAAAATCATTTTTTGTGCTTGTGGGTTATTCTCAAAGCAATCTCATGCAATTATTTTTACATCAGCCAGACTCATATAAATCAGTTATAGCTCTATCTATCATCTGATGCTTTTCTTTTCCCTTTGTGTGAAAGGACACATGAAAAAAGAAGATTATTTATTCCTTAATTGTTGATATATTCCAGCTTCTTGTCACTTTTCTCTTTCCCTTAGAGTTTGCTCATTTTTCAATCAGAGATTCACTGGGAATTTGCTAGTGACTCCCTCTAGTAATCCTTGGAAATTTTTAACTTTACAAAAATAGCTGATATGATTCTACTCTGTTGACCATCAGAGATTAGTTATTGACTGATTGACACCTCTAATGGACTTTTTGTTCCACTACTTTCACAATTTTTCCATGGAAATTACCTAACCCAGGGTTTCCTAACTGGTATGGAACCTTTGACACTCTCATGGTCCCCTTCTCTGAATCATTTTTATTTTGGTTTTTGGTTTTTTGTGTATATAAGATAAAGCACACAGGATCACAAAGGAAACAAATTTGATTGAGTTATCAAAATATTCTTTTTAAGTTCACAAACTCTAGGTTAAGAGACCCTCATCTAACCTATATTCAAGATCATTTACATAGGGGATAAAGGGCCAAGCTTGGAGTCAGGAAGACATGGGTTCACACAAATATGTGGCAATGGACAAATAACTTAACTTCTCAGTACCCCAGTCAATTATCAAAGATTGTCAGTTGCAAGCAGGTTGCTAACCTGTGTTGGTAGAGGGAATTTCCATAACTGGTAAAATCACTAGAAATAAAAAATATTTTCCTACCATCTGTTATGCAGTTTTAGATACTTTGATATCAAAAAGACATGGTTTCAGTGTAAAGAGAGATGTTAGGCAATGAATGGGGATGGAAGTAGAGATACAAATAGAGGTATACAGATTTAATTCAAAGAAATAAGTAACTAAATGTAACCAGATCTTTATTTTGCAACTCATTAATATGCTTCTCATGTTATATTGTATACATCATTGTCTGTGTCTGTGTTTTATTCTCCTATAGAATATAAACTCCCAGAGGAAAGAGATTCTTTTATCCAAACTTTCATATCATCCAGTGCCTTTATGCTTAAGAAATTTTCCCTTCTTGTACAGTCTTGAATGGTGAAATATTTATTAAATACTTGTTTAATGACTGAATGAACAAATGAATGCACAAAAATACAGAGATCAATCATGTATTTTAGTATAAATGAATTGGAAATGAGGACAAAATAATTAGTTCATTCTATTCTCAAGTAAAAAAGTCAATTCATCAGGGAATACAGTTCAAACATTTGAAGAAACTAAGGTAGTACAGGACTGCCATTTCCTAGGCATTGTCACTGCATGGTATGGACTTTAGATGAGCAGTGATGAATTAGGTAGGTCTAGAATGTTTGGACTTCTCTTATTTGTCCATGCTTATGGAACGTAAGCCCCTTGAGGAAAGAGACTATTTTTGTTTTCTCTTTGTATCTAGAACATAGTATGGGGCCTTGCACCCACTTAGCACCTGATAGATGTTTGCTAGATTGAATTGGATATGGACTAAATGTGGAGAAAAGTGTTAATGGAGCAAACTCCAAGAGAGAGGCTAGACAAGGACACATGGGCAAAAGCTGAAAATAAATTTAAAAAATCAATGGGACAAAGGAAAACTTGTCTCTAGACAGTTTCTTTAACAGTCTACCGAAGCTCAGTTAATACCCTACTTCCTGCTGCTGTGGACGTTGCTGCTAATAGCAGTTTCCATCTGTAGAATAATGCTTTTCCCTGTTAAAGTGCTTTCTTGTGCTTCTATTTGCTGTGACTAGTTCATCCTTCCTCTTATAAGACAGCTTTTTTTTAAACTATCTACTAGAAATTTCCTTGCAAATAGGCCACAGCTACTGGGAGTTTTATATTTTTCTTTATGTTGCCAGTGTCTAGTAAAATGTTTTGGTGCTTATTATATGCCTATTGAAGCAGATTAAAAATTGAACGAATTACTTAGATAACCCAGCTCTAAATCATTTGAGAGATCATGTGAGGTAATAGATTGAATATTGGATCTGAAGTAAGAAAGACCTGAATCTGAATTCTACCTCTGATACTTACTAAGCTGTATGACCTTGGGCAAGTCATTCAAACTCTCTGAGCTTTAGGGCAACTAAGACAAGGGTGGAGAGCCTATGGTGTGGAGGCCACATGTGGTCTTGAGGCTGCAGGTTCCCCAAGCCTGGTCTAAGACTTATCTAATAAGTTTGAGGTGAATTGGGAACTACATTGGTGGAAGAAGTTCCCACACTGTTAAAACCATAGTCTTTTGGCATATTAATGGTGTAAAGGAAAGAACAATGTATTATGAGACAAGAGACTAGGATTGTAGTCTACCCTTCTCTTATCACAACTAACTAGTGTTATGGGGTTGGGCAAGTGATTTCACTTCTTTGGGTGCCTCACTTTTTTCATCTGCAAAATGAAGAAAATAAACTTTGTCTTTCTGAAAGCTGGAGACTAGACCAGATAATCTTTAGAGGTCCATTTCATCTATTAAATCTATGATTCACATTACCCAGTTGTTGACTTGTCTCCATTTTGCTATTGTTAGCCTATCTTTGAATCACAAAATGGAAATTGTAGGGAAAATTCTTTAAAGAAATGTGTAAAAATATAAAAATTGTAAAAGAACCAAAGGATCACGAAAATCTTAAGAAATATATACCATGCATAACTGAAACTCTCTGGACCCTTTAGAAATTTATAAAATAGTCCAACTTTTTTATTTGAAACTTTCACATGGAGAAACTAGCAACTTTTTCTGTACAGTATCTAAATTTCTAAGATAATTCAGGGAGTTTAAAACATCATGCAAGGACTGGTTTTGAAATAGAGTGTCAGAGGTAAAAGGGATAATCTCCAAACTCATAGGTCATCTGTCCCATGTATCTCATAAAAAAAATTAAAAACCGTACAAACCCACAACAATTCTCATTTTTACTAATGCCTTCTGTTTTAAATGTCACATTTACTTCTAAAAATATCACTTCCCTACCCAACAAGCCATTCTTTGTAACAAATATATTAAAAGAAAAGAATTTAGAAAAAATAGCCAATCGTACACAATAGATTTACAGTTTCATGCTCAATCATCTCTTTTTTTTCTATTCTATTATGTTATGGAAATGCTTGCTTTGTTTCTTAAGTTCAAGATGAAATTAAAAAAAAATATCCAGCCAACACTCTGACCATAGCTGCCAGTGTATTCAATAGTTCTGTAAGCACAGTTCTCTACTTCTTGAATGAGGGGACGTGCAATTTCTCAGCCTTTCTCTGAGGCCAAACTTAGTAATAATTACTATATAGTCCCTTTTTTATAATTGTTGTTATTCTTTTTTTATCCCAGTTGCTAT